ATCCCTGCACTACATTTCCTATTCCACAGGGCCCCCCTGTTAGGTCAGTAGTAACAAATGCATGTTCAAAAAGGCTGCATAAATTCACTTTTCCCCTCGTATGAGTTTTCTTGAAAATGCCATGCTGGTTTTAGCTGGAATAAATCTGTCGGTTTTTTTTTTTTTTTTCTTTCCTTTCTATCACGTTTGCCTTCTTACCCTTGCAGCCGGACCAGGCGGACACCCTCACCCACCGCGGCGCATTGACATGCAACAAAGCTAATGGTGGCCGGGACAGGAGGGCCTAATCTTCACTAACTGACAAGATTTAAATTGAGGAGACATCTTCCGCTGATTAGCTCCCACACCCACAATTATCCAACTGGGGTGTCAAGCAAGGTTTAACATCTCCACTGATTCTTCTCTCCAGAGACATCCAGGAGGCAATGCAATCGCTTTTAATAACTGCCTCCCTACCTCCCTCCCTTGCACCTCCTCTCCTTCCCTCACCTCCTTCTCCCCTCCTTGACGCCCAGTGCTCCTCACACAGCACAGTTCCTCCCCCCCCCCGCTTCCATGCATTTTCTTTTCTCCTTTTTACCTCCCCTCATTCCAGTGCTCCCTCTCTCTCCTCCCTTTACTCCCTCCGCGCCCTCCGAGTTCCAAGTCATTCAAGCTCCCTTCAAAATTAACCTTTCCTGCGAAAAAATATAATTTCTCACAAAATGAACCCCACTGAGCGATTTTTTTTCTTCTTTCTTCTCTTTTTATTATTATTATTATTATGGAGAATAATTTATTCAAATTGCCTCACTCCGAACGGCAGATCAATCTGAACAAACCCTGAATTTGGATCTGACTTTTTTTTTTTTTCCTCCCCATCTAAGGGTGAAGAGGGGAGGAGGGACGAGGTGGAGGGAAAAGTTTATGTACCTTGCTGTCTTCTGGCAAATACGAGGACGAGCTCGCTCCCACCTTCCCTCCCCGGCGCTGCGGCAGCAGTATCCCCCCTCGAGTGTACACCTCATTAAAATTCATCTGATCTGAATATTTTTTGCAAATATGGTCTGATTGCTCGCCATGACATGAAACATCCCTGTGTGTTATTTTAATCACACGCACCCCAACGGGCAACGCTATATGATGGCTGTGACATTGAACTCCTCTGCCGCTTGACCCCATTTTAAGAGTGCACGTCATTTTTAAAGGGGGGTGGGGGGCGGGGGGGTGTTTGGTGTGGCAGCGGAGGGTGAACTTACCTGAAATGATGGACAAGCTTGATAATTCTTGGCTCTTTTCTTCAAATGTTCACACGGCATCAGCTCGGTTTAAAGCCCCTCTCAATCACGCTGCCGCCACATACCCCCCCGCCTGCCCCCCCCCAGTCTGCCTTTCCCCCTCTGTCTCTCTAATGAACTGTTTTCTTCCGGTGATGGAACAGGGACACAAAGCAACGCCATTAATAATTTACTGTTTAGTTTTACTAATTGATCTGTTTTGGGAGCCGGGATAAAAGCCAGGATGCACAATGCCTTTCATATGGCATTTATCCACAAGTCACAACCGGCTCCCTGAAGATGAATAATGAACTAAACAAGATCAAATAATTATCACCAGGGAGCAGCAGAGAGGACCGCGCTCACAAACACCACTGAGTTTACCTCGGGTTCCTCCTGCAGATCACACAACAGAAGAACGGGGGAGGAGACGGGTGGAGGTGCAGGTTCTCCTCAGCAACAAAGACTAGAGTAAGAACCGCCAAGGACAAGTGTGTGTCGGAGTTCACTGGTTGCAAACTCGCAACTTTTTCTACACGATGGCGTTTCACTTGGCGTTACGCAACTTTTTCTACACGATGGCGTTTCGCACCGCGTTGACAACTTTCTCCGTCTTTGCTGTCGTTTCAGGTGAATTCATCGGGAATCGCAGCCGGTCGTCTCGTCTCCGACATCGAGGTGAGTTCACAGAACGCTGGTCAACGGCTGAGGTTCTCCAACTGACAACATCATTGAACCGTCTGTTCATGTCAGAGAACACGGCTCTGGATGTTGTGTAGTTTTAGATCTGGTTTAGACCAGAATCGGGTTTGAGTTCATATTATCTTAGATTCAACCCCAGGTTTCAGGTCCAAATGCTAAGCTCTATGTTCCAACCCCACGACCCAAATGTATTATTTTCCAACTTCTTTCACCATAAACTAACAACATCACTGACCTGGAGCTTCAGACAAACTGGGGCCCAATTCAATCCAGGTCAACCCAGGTCCTGGCCACCCCGGTATACAGCCCTGAATGTTGGATAGTTCAACGTACGGTCTGACCTGCAGCAGTTAGTACTGTTCATACTCCAGTGCCATCGTGTCAGAAAGTCAACTGAATGGATGTTTTGGACCAACAAATGAAGTTCCTGGTACTGTTTATCGGTTGTTTGTTCTTGTCCAGAAACTGTTAAACCCAAGTCAAAAGGCCCGTTTGTTTCCTATTTTCAAATGGCTGAGAAAATCTCCTGCATAGTATGTGTGGCATATGACCTATCAAATCTGGATTCAAACCCACAACCCATTGGATGGGTCACAATAAAAAATGGACGATTGGTTGGTCATACTGCAACCGAATTCGGCCGTTTTTTGTCCTGAGATTTCAGTGTTTTTACATTTATATATATATATATTTTTTTTCATTTATATATACATATATATATAGATATATATAACCCTTCAGAAAAAAAAGCCCAACAAAAACACCGCTTCAGTGAACTGACACAGGCCAGTCCCACGTGAACAGATTGGCGGTTGTAATAACAGAAATCGACTCTCTGGATTATTTAGAATATCATATATCACCCGTCGAACATTTTGAGCAGAGCTATTCATTTTAATCTGAATAAATCTGAGTCCGTGTACTTAAAATTGTCTCCCATCCACGGCCCGGTCAGTCATAACAAGTCAGCATAGTTAGTAAAGTGCTTCCTGCTCAAACAAATTCAGGCTCCTTTCCCTCCTGAACCTCTCCACAGTGTTATCATGGAAAAAGTACACTGGCCCGGGGCATCCTGCTGGCTCAGCAGGGGAATGAGCCTACGGTGGATTTGTGACGTCACCAGTTTGAATCCAACTCATGACTTTTGACTCCCTGTACTGTCTGATAAAAATGACTATCAGCAACGAGCCAAAAAAAAAAAAAAAAATAAAAATAAAAACAGCCATAGTGAGCAGACCGCTGCAGCAGTCCCACAGTAACGTTTCCACAGGAACACACAGTGATTTGACTTGGCTCCACCGTGTTGTTTCTGGACAGGAATTGAACACCAACCCCCGGATTGTCGCCGTGTTTACCGCCAAACGAAATGTGAAGGAAAACAAAGTGGTTTTAATAATATCAGGCTAATTTATAGACGTGTGGAACCCACGACCGCCAGGATCAGGGAAAACACCAGAAGGCAACAATATTTATTTGCAGCATAGTCTGTAATGCGGTTACTTTAGTGACTTAGCTTGGCCCATGAGTCACTTTAACGCTGCTAATTTCTCTGGGTTGGGGGAGGAAAAAGAGGGAGTGCAGAGGGGGAGGCAAGGGGGGGTCTAGGTGAGACAGGGAGTCTATTTATACACAGCACCTCAACACAGAGCAGGGGATTAAAACTGAAATGAGACGCGCTCCTCCTTTGGCACGCCGCGGTCTTAAAAAGAGGCAGAAATGCCTGAGAAACATCTTGTATCACAGAGACGTTCATGTGTTTGGAGATCAGCGGCGTGTGAGCGTGTGAGATTTACTCAAATGTGCCTTTTATTGTTCTGGATTACACGCTGTTGGCCCATTGAACCCTAATGTGGTTTCCCCCCGCCGCTGCCTCCGCCGCCGCCGCATATGTAATAGTTATAGCTGTGAGCTTGTAAATAAGGTTTAATACAGTGAGCCAGTGTGAAGCCTGTGCATGTGTCCACATGCTCTCAGTGGTCTCTTATAAATATTCCCATGGCTGGGTGGAGAGTGTCATTATGCGTTAGCTGCAAGTAGCATAAGATTAAAGCACTAACTAAATGCCCATATCATTACCCTATTAGCATGTGACATAAATGTGTATGGGTTCCTGCTTAATTAGTGTTGATTGATTGGAATCAATGGCTGTAAAAAAAAAAAAAAAGAAAACTAGGGCGACTAGAGGGAGCAGGGTTGGTCGGACAGTTAGCGGAGTGTGTTTTTCAGGCTGTTTTTCCCTGTTTACACACAGGTAAATATAACGTCTGTAATTATTGCTCTGCTGTTGATTTAAAAAAATAATCTTTGTATAATTGATCACCAGTTTACTGTGTAGAAATAATCTGATCTTATGGGAAAAATGTGACTAAAAGTTTAAGATGCTAACTGTTTTCAACTTAGCTAGCTTAGAATATGAGTTTTAAAATATTAAGTTTTAGGTCA